TTTTATTAAGAAGGGATGGTAGATTTTGTCAAAATTTTTTTGTGTCTAATGATATAATCATGTGGTTCTTGTTTTTACATCTGTTAATGTAAGAAATTATGTTTATGGTCTTGTGACTGTTGAACCAGCTCTGCATCCCAGGAATGAAACTTACTTGGTCATGGTGGATGATTCTTGAGATATGTTGTTGCATTAAATTTGTTAGGATCTTATGGAGAATTTTCACTTCTATGTTCATCAAGGAGATTGGTCTGTAATTCTCTTTCCTTGTTAAGTCTTTGCCATGTTTGGTTGTCAGTGTGATGTTAGCTTCATAAAATGATTTGGGGAGAATTCTATCTTTCTTGATTGCATAGAATACTTTTGATAAGATTGATATCAGCTCATCTTTGTATGGTTTGTAGAATTCAGTTGCACAGCTATCAGGTTCTGGGGGTTTTGTTGTTGTTGTTGTTGTTTGGGGTTTTTTTGTAGGTAGATATCTTATGATGAAGTTAATTTCCTGGATTGTTATTGGTCTGTGTAGGATTTCAATTTCTTCTTGTTTCACCATTGGAAGGTAGTGTGATGCCAGAAAGTCCACCTTTTTTTTTTTTTTTTTTTTTTTTTAGGTTTTTGAGTTTATTCCCATAAAGATGCACACAGTAATCTCTGATAATCTTTGGAATTTCTTTGGAGTCTATTGTGATTTCATTTTTTACATTTCTTTATTTGGTTTTTCTTTCTCTTTTTTCTTAATCACTCTGGCTAGGGGTCTTTTAATCTTGTTTATCATTTCAAAGAATCAGCTTTTTGTCTTTTTAAATTTTTTTCTATGCTTTTTTTGTCATCTATGCCCTGCAGCTGTGACTTTATTTTGGTGATCTGGATCCTTAGGCTGAAGTTAGGATTTTGGTGTCCTTGCCATTCTATCTCACTTAGGTATGATGTTAACTGTTTACTTGTGATCTTTTACTTTTCTAGATGTGCGAGTATGCAGAGCTATACATTTTCCTCTCCGTACTGATTTCATAGCGTCCCAGAGATTCTGATAAGATGCATCTCTATTTTCATTTGTTTCCAAGAATCTTTTAATTTCTGTCTTGATTTCTGTGTTGAATTAAGAGTTATTCAGCAGTATGTAGTTTAATATCAATGTATCTGTGGGAATCTTGTTGGTGGTATATTTATTTTTATTCTACTATGCTCTGAGAAGATGCATGGAAATACTTCAATTTTTTTGGAATTTGTTTATGCTTGATTTATGTCCAAGAATGTGGTATTTTGGACTGTATTCTATATGCTGATGAATAGAATGTATACTCTGTAGTTGTTGGGTAAAGTGTTGTGCAGATGTCTATTAGGTCCATTTCATCAAGCACTGAGTTGAGGTTCCAAATCTTATTGATTTTTTTCCTTGTTTTATCTAGAGTTGTTAGTGGGATATTTAAGTCTCCAGCTATGATTTTGTGTGAGTCAATGTCCTCTTTTAGTTAGTAGTTGAATTATTAAACCTGCTGCTCCTGTATTGGGTGCATATATGTTTAAGATGAATATTTCTTGTTGGTGGATTGAATCTTTTGTCATTATGCTGTGTCCTTCCAGCATGTCCTTGAGGATTTGCTTCCAACATGGGTCACTCTCAAGGCTTCTATTAGAAGACCACAGTACCTTACTACACTGTTCTGTCCATAGATTGCTTAAATGTCAGTTAAATTTCTCAAGAGATCAAAATTTAAAAGAGAAAAGAAGAAGGATTAATATCATGTAAGACCTACTTACATACTCTCTACTCAGCTGTATTCATTCTCTGAAGTAAGTCAGTTAAGTTCAGCACACACCAAAGGGAGAGAATGTAGGCTCCGCTGTGTGGAAGACTGTTGAAGAATTTTTGGTACTCCCCCAAATTATCAAATGTATTAAAATGCCACTCAAGTCAACAAAATATTTTATTTCTAGGATAATTCCTTTGCCCTTTGTCAATTGCTTTCTTTTTCCTCAAATATATTATTTTTTTTTCTATCTTGCATTGGATTGTAAATGTACAACACACTTAAAGTGAATATTTCATGAAAGAAACATTTAATGACTTCAATTTTCCATTCCTAGAAAGAACAACTAAGAAAGGTAGCTATTATCACTCTGAAACCAATTTTTCTGTGCATAAAAATATAAGAAAAAAATATATAATTATTTTATGAAAATGATATTTCAGCCCAAATATTCTAAGCCAGCTGAGTCCTATCGATATCTGATCCTCAGCAAAAGTACTCCACAAAGTATCTTCTGGAATTCTGGTGGATAAGATGAAGAAATTGACTAGTTAGGTAGTTTACCAAATAGTTCGCAATTTTTTTTTTTTTTTGAATTGGAGTCTCACTTTTTCACCCAGACTGGAGGTTTGTAATTTTATTAAATAACCTTACCTGGGTATGAGATGCAAAATTTTGTTCTTAGGCCCCATTACCCTTTTGTGTCTTCATATAATTTAGCAATTTAGGAGAAATATGGTATAATTCACAACTGAAATGGTACAGCAGATGATTGCAAATTTGCTTTTAGATATATATGTAATTCAAAATGAATCCTATAAGCTAGGTCGAATCTAATAACATTAACTTGAGAAATGGTAACTATAGAATCTTTGTCCTGGGTCAAAGGACTCAGCTATGCAGGTACAAACAGATTAGCAACAGTTATAAAAGTTAGTCAGTACTTTAAACAATGTTAAGATCAGTTTGAGTTAACACCATGATAAACCCACCACAACTGCTAATGAGGCCACAACCTACATTGGTAGAAGCAGAAGTATAAAAAGGCAGCTGCAAATCAGACTGACTCAGTGCTGGTCAGATCACTTGTAAAATTTTACATGTGCTTCAGAGAACCACTGTGTGGAAAAGATAAAAAACAAATGTAAATACATTCAATGAAAAAGAAAATTAGTAAAGGGCTTCAGGTCTGTGATAGTAACTCTTATTTTTAATTGTGCTTCCTTTTGATTTAAAAATATCTCAGTGGCCTATTTTATTTTATTTATAGTTCAGGAAACACCATCATGAGTTATATAATAATATGTGTTCTGAAATCAGATCACCAGAGTTCAAATACTACAATTTTATGGGAAATTCAGTTGAAATTTTTAAGACTTATTTCCTGCAAATCCAAAGACTCAAGCTTGCCAAAGGTGGAATTAATGTTAAGTGACACATCATTATGCATTATGATGAAATTTGCAACATTTAAAGGTAAAGAGGAAGTATTACAAATCTCCAAAAAGTAATGAAGGGGAAAATCAGAAATGGTTTCTGTTTTTCTTAAAAGGAATGAGACTAAATGAGTATTTTAAGTTCAATCTTGGAAGCTACTAAAAAGTGCGTAAAAGTCTCTTCTGAAAGATGTGAGATACAGACTGTAGAAAAAATTTAAAAACTTTATCTACAGAAGATATCATTTCAGTCTTTGTAAAGACATTTAGAGTAAACATGGATTCAGAATTGATAATCTACATAGCTAATCTGTAGAAGCTACATTAAAAAAAATTCTGATCGAGCAAAAAAAGGAAAGGATTGATGAACTCACAATAAGGCTTAAAGACAAATTATTCACCAGACACTTATTAAATATGACAAGACAGTTTTTATGTGACTATAGCAATAGGGGACAGAGATAGAGTTCAAGTTATAATACAGTCAAGAGAGGATTTGTTTATGATTTATAACCAATAACCAGAGGTATTAGAATATCATTTATAAGGAATGACACTAAATAAGCATTTAAGCTTCAACTTTAGAAACTTCAAAAAAGTGAAAAAAATTGTTGTTGAAGAAAAATATGGACTGTAGGCCAAGGATCTATACCTAGAGAATCTATACCTATTCACAAATCTTTGTTGAAGAAAAGACATTTAAGATATACAAGGTTATACTCTACACAACGAGTCTTTGGATATTGTTTGAAAACTATTTAATCAGAAAAGAAAAAAGAAAAAAACTGAATCAGTGAACTAAAGAGAAATGCAGATGCTAAGCAATATTGAATGTGTACGTGTTAACATTTGTTATAATGTGCTGTTTTAAGTTTTCTTGAAAAAAAATTTGTGGAAAAAACTAAACTGATTTTGATATTAAAAGTACTAAATTATTTTTCAATCATCCCATAAAAACATAAAATTTTCTGGAAATATTAAGTATAAACCTTATAATGATACCGCACTTTAACATATATGCAAAATTATTCAATATATAAAAAACTCAGTACACTATAATTATATTGTGACAAAACGTTTCACATGACACATCAAACATCTTATTTTCTAATTAAAATTAGAAATAAATAATACATTGTTTAATCACACCCTTAGTTATTCAGATACTGAGAAATATTCCTAGCCCATTTTCCTTGTTAACCAAAGAAAAGAAAACTTGTCTCAGTAACTGGTTTCTGACATGAATTAACAAAGTCATTTTTCTATGTGATGTGATTGTTAGAAAATAGTTTTGTCTTTTCTATATTTCTTACATTGCCTCCAAGAAATAAAAAAAAAAAACTTAATCTCAAAAGTACCCCCAAAATCTGTTCTCTCCTTCCATTGAGAAAGCCTGAGAAGAAAAGACAGGGCTCTGATTTCTGATGAAATGGAACAGAAGGGAAAAGAAGACAAATGAGCTGAGTGGTAAAATCAGCAACTTCATCTCTCAACCAGGAAATTTGCTAAATCAAGCAGGATTGGGGCATGTATTCTCAAGGAGAATATGCTGTAATATGTTAAATAGGTCTGTGCAGTTTTCTTCCTGGAAAGTTCTCATGAAGGTTTGTGCATCATGTAACTCATAAGACATAATTTCATCTTCACTAGCAAACACCTTCTCACATACCTCAGTCATCTGAAGTCTGTAATTTTTCTTCTCTTAAAAACTTTAATGACTGTAATTATGCTAATAAGATAATATAATTTATCAATGAAACAATTCATCTTTAATCTGATTCATTATTTACTGTGTTTTGTTTTTCATTGCAAGTGAAACCATGTGACTTTCCAGATATTAAACATGGAAGGCTATTTTATGAGGGAAGGTATAGACCATACTTTCCAGTAGCTATAGGAAAACATTACTTCTATTATTGTGATAAAAATTTTGTGACTCCTTCACAACATCGGTGGGATTACATTACTTGCACACAAGATGGATGGTCACCAGCAGTCCCATGTCTCCGTAAGTAAACCTCTTTACAGCTATGTATGCACAAAACTTCCAAAGATTCTAGAAAGGAAAGCACATAAGTAATTACAATTAAGTCGTAAAGAAATAAGGCCAACAGAAGAGTTGTTCAAGCAAAAAGATCAAATCAAGTCTTTTCTATTGTAAGAAACTGCACATAAAAATCACTTGAGTAATACAGAGACTTTACAAGAATACCTATATAATTTATACACATTTAAATTATAAAAACTGAACCTATGTAACATTGAATATTGATAATTATTTTTATAAACACATTTGGTAGTTGCTTTAGTTTTTCTTAAGTTATACATTCTGCATATTTTGGGATGTGTTTGAAGTCTTATTTAACTATTATAATATAATTATAATTTCCTATTTAGATCATCTTGATGTTTCTCATTTACTTCTATTTATTTATTGTTTTTATGGTTCTTAGGGCAATGTGCTTTCAATTATTTGGAAAATGGACATTATCCACGACATGAAAGTATATATTTACAGGGTCATTCTGTAAAAGTCGACTGCTATCCTGGCTACAGTCTTCCACATGAGCATACTACAATTATGTGTACAGAGAATGACTGGTCTCCTAGTCCTAAATGCATCCTTGTCAGTAAGTTAACTGGTCTCAGGTTCCACATGCTCATGGTTTTCTAACTCATCTATATTACATGTGACAAAATATTTTGGTCAAATTCTTGTTTTTGCTAATGGACCTATTTAGTCTTTGTTTTTTCAACTGTGTATAAGTGACTATACAATTTTTTGGATAAATATATAGCAAATTAAATGCTTCTATCAATAGACATTAGTCAAGAATACAGTAATTTGAACAAAGTACTTGTTGAATAAATTAAACCATACTAATATGTACATTGAAAACATGTAGTCATTTGACTGAAAATAATGCAAAATTATAGTTTAAAATAGAAAGTAGAAGCAATGATAGGAAAAAAGTTACTCATATATTCAAGCACTAATATGATATTTTTACAGTAAAGCTATTTATATTTGAATTTCTATAACATAAGTAACAAGCAATGGGTTATTTGTGACACTGTGTGTGTTCTACTCTAGAAGGTTTCCCATAGTAGCTATTCCAATACAAATTCGTATCAACAGGTCCTTTTTATTTATATCTTTGTTAATTATTGATCTTGTCACATTTCAATATTCAAAAATTGGGAGATTATAAAATGTTAAGGAATTGTAATTTTAATTTGTATTTCATTATTAATTGTGTTTAACATATATATTTATAGTTTAGCTGTTATTCAATTATTTTAATATATAAACTGCAATTTGATGTTTTTGTTAATTTACCTTAAGGGATTTTGATTATTTATTTATTAGACTCCTAATAATTCTGAATATTAATTACCTATCAATGATATGCAATGCAAATGCATTAGTTTACGTGGTTAGTATTTTTCTTTATTTATGTGTGTTGTTAACGTAAGTTGTTCATTTTACTAAAAATTATCAACATTTTTCTGGTTAATTTTTTGTTTGCATTAAAATATTTCTATTCTTAAAAAAAACTTTATACTGTACTTTAGTCTGAAAAGTGGCCATGTTTTATTTTCCTTTTTATTTTGAATTCATTTTGTGTTGAGCTTATTGAAATAATAACTGTGTTTTTTTAATTTAAAATATGAGAACCCAGCATTTTCTCAGTTTTTTATTGCACCTTTCTCATTTAGTCTATCTTATCTTGGTTATTACTTTGAGTACTCTAGTCTGCACTATTAGTAAATATTATTTCCACCAGTGTTCCTGGAATCCTCTATTTTAATTACTATAAGTATGGATATTTAATCATGACTTTTCATCTTAATCTCATATTATTTTCTTTGTTGAATCTTAACATTCTGTGATGATCACATTAGTCTGTGATCATGGTCCATTAGTCTTTTTCATGGTCCATTAATAGGCACTAATAATATGCCATGATTTCACATGCAATTTCTCCTAATATCAAACAACTCAATCAAATTGTATGTCCCCTTGCTTTGGTTTTAGAGTTTTTTCTCTAGTTTCTTCAACCATTATTTTTTCTCTTTATTTTCCTTCCTTCCTCCTTCCCTCATTCCTTCTTTCCTTTCTTGTTTTCTTCCTTTCCTCCTTCTTTCCTCTTTTCCTTTTAATTTTATTTTTTCATTAATTTTCTTTCTTTCTATGATTGTCCCAAGTCTGTCTGGGTTAAGTTACCCACAACAATTTTGCGATTTTACTGTTCATGCTAGTCATGTAGGTTAGTCATACTATTAAACTACTTTATTAACAGATCTTAGTTTAATCCTCAGATTGATATATAAATACTATATCACCAGTATACATTCAATCATCAGTAAATCACAGTACTTTATCATTGATCAAATCAAAATTTCTCATAATCATGTTGTGAAAATAAGCAAAGGAATCCAAATATACTTGAGTGAGTGGAGTAGAAATATTTTGGAGGGTACCTTGCATGAATGCAATTTGCCTGTGGTTTTCATTGAAATAGTCACTTGAAAACATTAGTCAAATGGATCACAGAATACCAATTTTTTAGCTAGATATAAAACTTGAATTATGAATGTCATTTTAATTGTTGCTTCTGAAGATACAGTAGTCTTTCCTTATTCATGGGATAAAAGGTACAATAATCCCCCTTACCAATCGACGACTCAGTAACCCCTTTTAAAGAAAGGATATGTCCCAAAACCCACAGTGGATGCCTGAAATGACAAGTAGAATAAAATTCAATATATACAATGTTTTTCGTTCTGTAACTGAGAAGGCTCTTAAGTGACTAATAGTCAGGTAACACTTGTACAGCGTGGATACCCTGAGCAATGGGAGGATTCATGTCCTGGGCAGGATGGAAGTGGATGGCACAAGATTTCATCAAATTACTCAGAACAGCACAATTAAAAACTTATAAATCAACCCAGAAGCAGTGAATCATGTTTTGGCAAAATAGACCCATGAAAAAAAGTTGTAAAATGATGGTCCAGCATGTAAATCAAACCAGATATGACTGAGTCACAAGAAAACTGTAATATCATGATGGTTCTGTTAAATGACCCACAGCACCTTATGCGGAAGCCACAGTGGCACCACTGACACTTATGACAGAGTCCCCACTCCCAAATGATCATAAATGCAGAGCAAGAAGAAATGTTTCTCATTCTCATACCTAACAGAGAACTCACCTGGGCCAAAGGGTCACTTGGCTCTGTGAGAGCAAATTCCCCTATGACAACTAACTGTAGGAGATGTTGATGCTATCACATGCCAGCTTATGGGATTTATCTGGGTTCATCCTCTGTTCTCTACCTCAGACCTGTTTAATTAGAAAAATAATATGTCTGCTTATTGGGAATATCAGAAGTAGATAAAGAAGCTATTCCCCTCTACATTTGATGACCCAGCCCAACTTGGGCAGGTGTCCAAAATTTGCTTAATATTTTATCAACTTCAGAGAAGTGGAGAGTGATTTTAAATAAAGATAGAGAAAAGGTTGACCATATGCACACTGACTCTCCAACTAATCCAATAAAGGTGACGGTTCAGATTGCATTTTCCATCCCTGACCTTGGATAGAATGCAAATATAAACATGGGAGATAGACCCAAGGTCAATCATTATCAAGACAGCAATTTGACCAGTTTCTACAAAGGAGAGCCCAAGAAAAGGAGTCTCAATAAGATTCAGGAACTCAAGAAGAAATATAATTAAAGTCCATTTCTAACTCAAACAACACCCTCTATATTTTCCTTCCACACGGAGTCTTGGGTCCATTATGCTGGAAAGTGAACTTTTGAAATTTATAGTAGATACTCTCTCATTTATTCAATGTTAAACATCTGTGTAAAAAAAAAATCATGTCTAAACTTTCTGCAGAGATTATGAAGGTTCCTGGAGTCTTGAAAAAAAAAGTATGGATGAGATCATGTATCCAACCTTTGAATTGTCAACTAGAATAAACTCATTATACACACACACACACACACATGCATAAATTTCCTATACTTTAATTGCAGCAAGACCTCTTAACCAAACCAAAGGCTAAGGTTTCCTTTTCTCCTGGAGGACTGAACATTCAGGTGCCTCCAGTACAAGCATATGATCTGCAAATTGCATTATGGCAACTGGAAATCCTTAAAATCACTGTCATCCTTGCAGAAATACTCCAAGATGTGAGTCTGAAAGCACGAGAAGATGAGAGTCTGGAAAAACCAGAAATTTCAGTCCTAGTATGTCAAGTTTCGTATAGTAGTAACACTGGGAAATCTAAAGTAGTAGCCTCTATGGTGACAGACATGATAAGGCATTTACCTTCTGCTCATGGCCTTCCTGCAATATGGACTCCTTAGATATCATGGTTCTTCATGCAACATGGCCAGCTTTCCAGTACAAAACCAGGAACTAAGGAGTATAGATTTGTATAGGATGGGAGAGCTATTTAAAATATTAAGACATCATTCTGGTGGTCCTCAATCCTTCCACATGACTCACCTTTCTAGCTAGTAAGTTTTTCTAGTTTTCAGTCTTGGACCCAAAGGATGCCTTCTTCTGAATTCTCCTGAGTCCAGAGTTTCAAGAATTCTTTGTCTTTGAATGGAAAGGCCCTGACACTAAAGTTAAACAACAGTATTGCTGGTTAGTCCTTCCTCAGGCTCTAAGAACTCAGCAACTATTTGGGTGAAAATACTTGCTAATGAATCAATGAAAAGAAAGGGACTTCATTACAGTATCTTGATGTCATATATAACAAGCAGGACAACTTAAGGCAGCCTCTAACCAGAATACCATACTGAAAAGTTTTGGCTTGACAGAGTTATAAGGTATCCAGAAAAATGGCACAAATCTCAAACTCCTCAAGTAAATGTCATGGATTTTAACTTTCCCAGAGGAATAGAAAGATGTCAACGTCATGAAGAGAATTCTCAGATGGCCAAACCCAAAACATTGAAACACCTGAAAAGATTTTTAGATATGACTGGATTTTGCCATATTTGGATTTCAATTTGGGGCATACAGCAAAACCTATCTATAAAGCCTTAAGAGGACCAGATACCAAACATGTAAAATGAACCAAGGAATGTCAAAATACCTTTTTAACAACAACAAAAATTATTAACTGCTCCAGCATTACGAATCCCTGACCTGAAAAAGCTATTTTGCTTTTTGTACACAAGTGACAAGGGCTAAGTTTAGGGGTGGTAATGGAAGACTTGAGGACTATCAATAGGCTAGTAGCCTACTTTTCAATGCTTCAGTTGTCCATATTACCCACAGCAATCTGCCTACTCAATGTAATTCTAATAAAACTACCAGCATCATTTTTTTCACAGAATTAGGGAAAAAAATGACTTAATATGAAAACTAAAAAGAGCCCAAATAGACAAAGCCACTCAAGAAAAAGTAAAACAAAATAATAAAGAAACACAAACACACACACACACACAAATAAAAATCTTAACTGTCGGCAACACATTATCAGATTTCAAACTTTGTTACAAGGTTACAATAACCAAAACAACAGCATGGTACTGGTATAAAAATAGACACACAGATCAATGAAACAGAATAGGGAACCCCAAAATGAAGCCACATACGTACAATCAACTGATCTTCCACAAACTTAACAATAATATACATTGGTGAAAGATACCTTATTTAATGAATGATGCTGGGAAAATTAGAACCATATGCAGAAGAATGAAGTTAGATTCCTATCTCTTACCATATAAAAATTAAATCAAGATGAATAAAACTTAAATGTAAGACCTCAAACTATAAAAATACAAGAAGAAAACCTTGGAAATATCCTTTTGGACATCAGACTAGGCAACTAGTTTGTTACCTCAAAGTACAAGTGCAGCAAAATGAAGATTGACAAGTGGGACCTAATTAAACTAAAGAGCATCTGCACTGCAAAAGAAGCTATCAGCAACATAAATACTTAATCTACACATGGGAGAAAATATTTGAAACTATGAATCTGACAAAGGTCTAATATCTAGATTGTGTTATTGGCTTAAAGTGTGTTTTTCTCTGATATAAGTATATTTATTGGATTTCATTTACATGGATTTTTTTTTTCATCTCTTTATCTCATATCTGTAAGGGACTTTATTACTTAAGTTGGTTTCTTGTAATAGGATATAGTTGGATTCAGCATTTCATTCAAAATATTAATCCTGCCTATTTATATTTTTTAAGTGGAGCATTTAATTCATTTACATTGAAAGTTAATATTTCTATGTGAAGTTTAGTTTCTATAATTATGATAATTGTTAACTAGCTGCTTTGTGCTCTCTACTATGTAATTGTTTTATATGACCTGTTAATTTTACTCTGTTATTGTCTACCCAGAGAAGCTCTCTGCTGCTTCAGGCACTGGGCTAATCTGTGGAAGTCACAGTATTATGAGCTTCCTGCTCAGCCCTGAGGAGAGAAAAAAGCTGGGCAAAGCTAAACTGCTAGGTTTACCCTTGGATACCCCAATGGTGGGCACAAGCATCAAAAAAGATGGTGTCAGCCTTTTATTTTCAAGCTCAGAATTTCCTTGAGCATTTCTTGTAGGGTTGGTCTAGCAGTGACAGATTCCATTAGTGCTAGTGCCTCTGGGAAAGATTTTATTTCTTCTTCATTTATAAAGCTTAGATTAGCAGGAGACAATATTTGTGGCTAAAAATGTTTTTGTACAAGAAATCTGAAATTAAGACCTTCATATTTTCTGGCTGGTAAGCTTTCTGCTGAGAAGTTCACTGTCATCTAATGGGATTGCCTTTACACTCGATTTTATGGCTTTTTAAAAAATTACTGATCTTATAATTATATTATTTTTCTTCATTTTGACTTTAGGTTATCTGATGACTACATGCTTTGTTGAAGTTCATCTTGCAATGTACATTCTTGGAGTTCTCTGAACCTCTTGTATCTGAATATATAAAGCTCTAGCAAGTCTAGATAAATTTTCTGCAATAATCTCATCAAATAGATTTTCTAAACCTTTTACTTTTTCTTCTTTCTCAGGAATACCTATGACTCATATATTCAATCATTTTACATAATCCCATTGTTCCAAAAGATTTTCTTCATTTTGAAAAATCTTTGGTTTTTATATTTATCTAACTGAGTTAACTCAAAAGACCTGTCTTTAAGATTTTTTTAAGCTTTAAGATTTTTTTCTTTTGCTTGCTCTAGCTTATTGTGAAAGTTTTCAACTACATGTTGTAATTCTTCAATTCATTTTTTATTTCCAGAATTTGTTTGGCTTGTCAAAAAATAAGTTTTGTTCATTTTTATCCAGAATTAAAAAAAAATTTTTTTTGCTTTAGTTTTTCTTTTTTGGGGGGGGGGGTGTCTCATTGAACTTCTTTAAAATTGACATTTTGAAATATTTATCTGGTATTTCAAATATTTTGATTGGGATTCATAGTTGGAAAATTAGTTTGATCTTCTGGATTATAACATTGTTTTTTGATACTACCAAATATCTCGATCTGGTACTTCTTCGTCCAGATAAGTTATCTCTTCTTATATTTGAATGTACTTTTGTTTAGATGAAATTTTTTTCCTTCCCATTGAGGATGTGGCTATAATGCTTGTTGTGTAGAATTATTTGGCTTTGACTTTAGGTACTTTAAGTGGTAAGTTTTGATAGTGCATTTCATAATGCAGTGATATTCTCAAATGCTAGTCATTAGTGGTAATGTACTAGGCATGTGAGCAGGTTCACAGCCTCCTGTAGGACAAAGATGGTGAAGATCTCAGGAAATTTGTCCAATTTGCCAGTGTTATGCACTTGTATCATCTGATTTTGTATTGATTTGTGCAATTAAAACTCCAGGCCAGTAGTTCTCACTTGTCTGGCTACAGTAGAAACAGATATATAAATATTTGATCATTGTTTACCCACAGAAGCTCTCTGCTGCTTCAGGCACTGGGCTAATCTGTGGAATTCACAGTAGTATGAGCTTCCTGCTTTGTCCCTTGAGGAGGGGACAAAGCTGGGCAAAGTTGAACTGGTAGGTTTACCCTTGGATATCCCAATGGTGGGCACAAGCACAAACACTGATGAAAAAGGAGCTGCTAGTGAAATGTACCATGACCTTGGTGGGCAGAAACACAAGTTGCTATCCTGTAACATCCCAATGCCTGAGACACTCAGACCGGAAAAAACACTATTTAACCCCAGGAGGCATCCTAGCTGACTGCCCTGAAACATGCCTTCCTCTCAGCTCCACATTTAAATATCTTCACTGCAGAACTTATTTCACCCTTCCAAAATGCACTCTAGGTAGTTGTAGTTGCTCTTTCCTTCAGAAATGTTGTTGCTTTATGTAATGAGGGTGGAGAGTTTTACCGTTTGTACAAGCCAGGCTTCGTGGGCACACTTCCTGTGAGGATGCAGCCATCCCTAGTAGATCTAGAATGTCTATTCTCCAGCCCACCTATAACAATTTTCTATGCTGGCTGCCATGGTTGTATTCACAGCAGTACGTTTGGAGAAGAGAATCCTCCCTCTCCACATCCATGTTTAAGCACTGCAGCAGCCTGGATGAGGGGATGGAATCACACTGGTGCATAGAAATGTCATTTTTGTATGTTGATCTTATTTCCTGAATTTCCTGAATTCACTTACCAGAGTCAAATTTATCAAATTTACTGTGAATTCTTGTATCAAATCTAGGAATCTTTTGGAGGAATCTTTTAGATTCTCTAAGATCACATCATTTCTAAGGTTGTATCATTAGCAGATGTAATTTGACTTCCTCTTTTGCAATTTGAATGTCTTATTTTTTTTCTTTTGGCTGGTTACCCTGACTAGGACTTTCAGCAATGTGTTTATTGAAAATAGTGAAAGTGGGCATCCTTCTTTTGTTCCAGCTCTTAGGAGGAATGCTTTAAACATTTCCCCATTTAGTAGATGTTGACTGTGGATTTGTCTTACATGGCTTTTATTATTTTGAGATATGTTCCTTCAATGCCTAGTTTGTTGAGAGTTTTATCATGGAGAACTAAATTTCATCAAATGGTTTCTGAATCTATTAAGATGTTCACGTGGTTTTTTGTTTTTAGTTCAGTTTAATTGCATATTTTGAATCATTTTTTCATCCCTGACTATAGTATATTATCTTTTTGATGTGCTGTTTAATTCCATTTGCTAGTATTTTGGTGAGAATTTTTACATCTATGTTTACCAGGAATATTGGATTGTAGACATTTTTGTTGTTGTTGTATC